GCCAAAACTGCCACTAGTGGCCAAATGGCCAAAACTGCCACTAGTGGCCAAATGGCCAAAACTGCCACTAGTGGTCATGGCCAAAACGGCCACTTATGGCCAAATGGCCAAAAAGGCCACTAGTGGCCAAATGGGTAAAACGGCCTCTACTGGCCAAATGGCCCAAACTGCCACTAGTGACCTTATGGCCAAAACAGCCACTTGTGCCCAAATGGCCAAAATGGCCACTAGTGGCCAAATGGATAAAACAGCCAGTAGTGGCCCAAATGGCCAAAAACGGCCAGTAGTGGCCAAATGGGCAAAACTGCCACTAGTGGCCAAATGGGTAAGACGGCTTCTAGTGGCCAAATGGATAAACAAGCCACTAGTGGCCAAATGGGTAAAACGGCTACTTGTGACCAAATGGCTAAAACTGCCACTAGTGGCCAAATGGCCAAGACTGCCACTTGTGGCAACATGGCCAAAACTGCCACTAGTGGCCAAATGACCAGGACTGCCACTTGTGGCCACATAGCCAAAACTGCCACTAGTGGCCAAATCGCTAAAACGGCCGTTAGTGGCCAAATAACGAAAACTTCCACTAGTGGCAACATGGCTAAAACCACCACTTGTGGTTAAATGGCTAAAACTGCCACTAGTGGCCACATGGGCAAAACTGCCACTAGTGGCCACATGGGCAAAACTGTCACTAGTGGCCACATGGCGAAAACGGCCACTTGTGGCCAAAAGGCCAAACTGGCTACTAGCCGCTAAATGGATGAAACGGCCACTAGTAGTCACATGGCCAAACCTGCCACTAGTGGCCATATGGCAAAAACGGCCATTAGTGGCCAAATGGATAAAACGGCCACTAGTGGTGAAATGGCCTAAACTGCCACTAGTGGCCAAATGGCCAAAACTGCCACTAGTGGCCACTTGTGGCCAAGTGGTCAAAACTTCCACCAGTGGCCAAGTGGTCAAAACTTCCACTAGTGGCCAAATGGCTAAAAGTGCAATTAGTGGCCACATAGCTAAAACGGCTACTTGTGGCCAAATGGCCAAAATGGCCACTAGTGGCCGAATGGGTAAAATGGTCATTAGTGGCCTAATGGCAAAAACGGCCACTAGAAGCTTAATGGCTAAAACGGCGACTTGTGGCCAAATGGCCAAAAAGGCCACTAGTGGCTGAATGGGTAAAACAGCCAGCAGTGGTGAAATGGCCCAAAATGGCCACTAGTGGCCAATTGGCCAAAAGGGCCACCAGCGGCCAAATGGCCAAAAACTGCCACAAGTGGCCAGATGGCCAAAACTGCCACTAGTGGCCACTTATGGCCAAGTGGTCAAAACTTCCAACTAGTAGCCAAATGGCTGAAACTGCAATAAGTGGCCACGTAGCTAAAACGGCTACTTGTGGCCAAATGGGTAAAACAGCCAGCAGTGGTGAAATGGCCAAAAACAGCCACTAGTGGCCAAATAGCCAAAAGGGCCACTACTGGCCAAATGGCTGAGACCTGCCACTACTGGCCAAATGGCCAAACCTGCCACGAGTGGCCATGTGGCCAAAACAGCCACTAGTGGCCACACGGCCAAAACAGCCACTAGTGGCCACACGGCCAAAACAGCCACTAGTGGCCACACGGCCAAAACAGCCACTAGTGGCCACACGGCCAAAACAACCACTAGTGGCCACATGGCCAAAACTGCTACTAGTGGCCACATGGCCAAAACGGCCACTAGTGGCCAAATGGTAAAAACTGCCAGTATTGGGCACATGGCCAAAATGGCCACTTCTGGCCAAATGGCCAAAACAGCCTGTTGTGGCCAAATGGGTAAAATGGCCACTAGTGGCCAAATGGCAAAAACTGCCATTAGTGGTGAACTTGCCAAAACTGCCACTAGTGGCCACATGGTCAAAACTGCCAGTAGTGGCCAAATGGGCAAAACTGCCACTAGTGGCCACATGGGCAAAACTGCTAATGGCGAAAACAGCTACTAGAAAGCAAATGGGAAAAATGGCCACTTGATGCCAAATAAGCAAAACAGCCATTAGTGGGCAAATGGCCAAAATGGGCACCTGTGGCCCGATGGCCACAACGGCCACTAGTGGCCAAATGGCCAAAGGTGGCCAAAATGCAAAAGAGTCACTGGTGGTCAAATAAGGAAAACAGCCACTAGTGGTGAGTAGTGGTTGTTTTGGCCGTTTGGTCTTTGGTGGCCATTGTAGCATTCTTTATATCAGGAAAAATGCAGTATGAATTATAGGTTTGAGAGCAATTAGAGCTTGTGTTCGATCTTGTGCAGTTATTCTATCTGTAACAAGAATATAAAGTCAAAGAAAAGCCAAGAGGTAGTGACAAAGCATACTTAAAAGTGAAATTCAAACTTTACATGAAGTGTTTGCTGTACTTATTTACAACAGGAAATGTTGTTAAATCCGATGTAAATTTTTATCATACACACCTCTGGCTCCTCCAAAGAAAAATCGAAGAACTTTTGTACAAATTCCTGTTCGGCTGTACATACTGGTTCGAGCTCCAACAAAAGAACATCAAAAACCTGATTTTACAACCACAACAACTGTCGGTACATTAATAAGCTAAGGCGCTGCAATCTCAGCTCAATAACAAAATGACATTTCTTATATGAACAGAAAACAAACTTTGTTGCATTATCTGGTCCAGCCCTAAGGGTGAGTCTATCTGAAACGACCTGAATAAAAGTTTTCAACAAACCCTTTCAAACTTTCCTCTGCCCTCCTGCAGCTGATCAGAAGAATCCACTGAGCTCATGGATCCCGATCTGGACCTCGTATCTGAGCCCAAAGAACCAATAGAATCCGTGTCTTTCCTGTCCAATGCTTTTTCAGTTTTTCTGAAAGAGCCTGTCTTAATGCCACGAGGACTGGGGCGAGGGCTCATTTTTGGGTCATTGATGCCTGTCGCGGACCCTGTCATCTTGAAGGCAGCGTAGGCTGTATAAAGAAGAGTCCCTATCAATTCATGCTTCAAATCACACAGTGCAAAATAACATTCACATCCATTAGCTACTTACCACTAACCTTTTTATTCCCATGGGAAATCAAGACAGAATTTCTCACAATATTAATACAACATCAAGTTAATGAGTGAGGAGAACCACAAAAAACATCAATTGGGTGATTATTAGTCGATTCCATACCGACTCATTCTCTGAACAAACATCATTAAAACTGTATGGCAGACAGTATGGAGAATTACTAATGAGATCTTTGAGTGAAAGAGTGCAAGGAGTAAAGAAGTCCTTGTTTCTATTCCCTTTGTCTTTTTCAGAAACCTTCCCCTTTCTTGCTAATCTACCACCATTTCCTTTCACCAAACTGGTAGGAACCGAAAAAACCTCTTTTCCTTGCAGTCTCTTCTTTTTCTTTATTTTGCTCTGGTTTTATTTCGCTCCCAAAAGCTACTGTTCCTGCATTATGTCTACGAGAAAAATTTTGATGCATAAAAATGATCCACAATTCGGCAACAAAACTCCTTTAATGACAAGCTTGTAAAGGTAACCATATGAACTTGTTTGAAATGATTTCCTAATGTGTGTCGAAATTGGTAATGCGAAGACAGACAAAAAAATAGCCATAGACAGACAAAAAATAGCTATGAATATTGCAGACTAAAATAAAGTTCATTCTACGAGACTCTGACTAATTCACTCATTAGACTACTTCAAATATACCCTACCCCCAGTCAACAAAAACCATATGACAATCCCTCAAGAAGATGAATAAAACAATTACCCACTTACGTCGGACACCTTTCGTCATAGTCCTTTGTTTAACAGCCTCAAAGAAGTCCCTCAGTTCCCTCTCATACACTCTGCTGAGGGATTGTGTATATGCCTGAAAAGGTGGAAAATGGTGTTCATGCAACAAGTTTACCATCACTTTTAAATACATTTTTTAAAGCAGACAGGTGCGACATTTGAGGTTTATTAAAACCTGTAACTAAACGTGAAAAAACTACATAAAATTTCTGATAACTATTCTTTTAATCTTCGAATGACTGAAAAAAACAAATCGGTGATGGTAATGCACAGAGGCTTTTCATTAAGACTGCGTGGAAAGCATACGAAAAATAAGTTGAATATGCTTTAAATATCGTGTGGGGATGAGTCTGAAAAAGGAAGGGTGATGGAAAGTTGTGTAGTGTACTGGGGATGAGCCTGACAAATGGAGTGTAATGAAATATGTAAAGGACAAACAAAATGATAGAGTGAAATGTAACAAACCTGACAAAGCTCCAGGAACACAGTCTGATCGACTTCTTTAAGCCACTTCATCAACTCAGAGAATGGGGCGAGGTCATTATGACAAGTCAAATGTTTAGGGATACACAGCTCACTGGATTGTTGAACCAGAGTCTCTAGATCTATACCCTGGTAAGAACAACGTGACAGAAATAAACCTCCTTAAAAATGCAAAGGTTACGGAAAAAATACCATGTCACCACGGCAGAACACTCAATCTTCCTCTGCGTAATACTAAAGCAAGATTTTGAATGTGTGAGATTACAAAATTGTGTCACAAATCAAGTTGTCATTTTAACATTCATATAGGGAAAATCCTTTGCTGCCACCGAACACATAGTACAAAATAATACATCTCTCTCGTTGGTGACCAACTATGTGGCCGCCCTATACTACTGACATCCTGTTAGAGCCGCCAGTAGTCAACTGGCAAACTTACATGGCGTGTAAAGATTTCCATGAGATGAAACTTTAGACGCTGAGCAAAATCACTGCTCAGCTGCCAAAATTTTTCTCGCTGTTCCTTGACAGCTCTCATTTCAGTCAAACCTGAAAATTAAACACCCACAACCTTGACATCATCATATTTAGGGCACTTTTCAATCAAGATAATGTAGAGAAATCAAATGTCCAAAGTTATCACAAAAGAGAGAAGTTGCAGTCTATAAACAAAATCAGTGAAAATGGAAAGCAAATACAGGTTGTATATACAGTTGTACTGTTAGAGCTACAACAATCTGGAAGCAGACGGAATTTGCCTGTGGTTAGTGACAGGGACACTGAACAATTGGACTTATACTTAAAAGTTCTCAGACATGAAGTTGATATTTAATGCCTTTTCTGTATAAAACACAGTATAAAACGCTTCCTATCAGGACAGTGTTGTAAAACCAAAATTAAAGAAATTTCAACGGCCAATTAGCCCCAAAGTTAAGATCAGAATGAAGCAATGAAAACTTGAAGTAAAAAGAATTACATTCCTTAAAGCATGGGATAACGCATGCAACTTAAGAGAGACACAGTTTGAGTTTTGCATCTGATTGGTTAAGAAGTGGGCACAAGTTTCCTTGAACAATCACGAAGGGAAGTAGAGTAAAACCAATACAATCTTGGATTTCTCTTAAGTAACTGCTACTACCTGGACTGAGATCAGCTTGCAGGGCATTAAGCACGACAAACGCAGCATGGGTGCACTCTGTCAGTCCCATTCCTTTGGAAAGGTCAGCTTCTTGAAGAGCTACGATATTGCGCTCAGGGACATCCAGTGTAACCTGAAATGGTTTGAAAAAATGGTAGTAGATACTATGTTTCTTTGAACCTGGTCAAAGGAAAATATTGAATAGAAGTTTACATGACCTTCCTAACAGTCTTTTAATGATCATTTCTTTATGTTTATCTCATTATCTTTTTTAATCGTTGTCTCTCATGATCAATTGGTCAGCAAGCCACTTGATAACTGTGCAGTCAAGTCAACCAGTCAGTAAGTCAGTCAGTCAGCCAGCTAGCCCATCACTCAGACAGCCTGCCATTTGGTCAGTCTGTCAGCTTTAGACAGTCAGAGAGCAAACCAGACAGTTAGTCCAACTGGCTGTATGTTGGTCATTTCATACAGCCTGACAATCTTACTATCCGACTACCTGCTTCCTTATCAGTCCATTTGTGTTGACTACTTCTGTCTGCAACTAATTTTTCAGTTTTATTTTTGTGTCATTATAACAATTGAAGATTGTCATCATTAAGAACTCAGTCTGCAATGTACTTGAAAACTTAAATGTAGCTAAGCATACTGACCACTAGCAATTCCACCTCCTCCAAAAGCTTTTTACGATTCCTGCTCTCTGTTACCATATGTTTATCTTTGTCCTCCATTTGTTCCATCTGAGCTCGCACTTCCTGAGTTTTCAAATACCACAATAAAAACAGAATCAAGCAGACCATTCAAAATAATTCAAGGAACAGTTCAAAGTTAGAGTTGGAACCATATAAACATGGACAGAACCATCCAAAATTTAATGGAATGGTTGGACATTGGCAGGTGCTGTCCAAAATCTAAAGGAACCATTTGAAATCAGAATGATCTGTTCACAAAAAGTCGTAATCATCGGAAATCAGACCTAACCATGTAAAAATTACATAGGTCTGCCTGGAATTAGATGTAACATTTTGAAATCAGATAGATCCGAACAGAATTAGACACAATCAGACTACTTACTCTAAGACGGTCATCATATCCTGTAAGTCGTTTATCCAAGTGGTCAAGCTCATTCAAGGCATCATTCAACAGCTGCATTAGTGATTCCACTTGAGGCTCAGCATCCATGATAGAATGGATATTGGCCTGGAAAGAGAAAGAAAGCAAAGATGTTGGAAAAAGTAACTACCAACCTTTCAGGTGATCAGTTTAATAGATCAAATAGTACACTTTACCCCATCCAAAACAGACAAGTCCTTGGAGAGTTGTTCAGTGAATGCTTCAATATTGCTGATGGCACCCTCAGTTTGTGATATCATGTGCTCCAAGTCGTTCTCCTCCCGCTGTGTCAGTTCTTGGTAATCTTCACCTAACAAATTTGTAATGCATTTAAACCAACTATTGCATTTTAAAATTTGTACAGTTAAGAAAACAGACAATAATGGATTCACTGGTTACAACAAGAAGACCAGCCATCAACAAGTTCTCCTTTTGTCTCATAATTTTGTTGTTTTGTCATCTTCTTGTCCACATGTATCCACACATTGGATAACACTGTGACATGCATAATACTTTCCAGCTATGATCTCATACTCTCTGACTGGAAGGAAAAGTCTTCTTAGCCTTGGTAGTCTTGTCTACCAACCTTCAGCTCCCTCTTCTGTGTGTTGTTGAACTCGGCTACTCTCAACTCCATGGATAGAGCCTAAACGAATGAAACTAAATTCATAAATGTACTCTCCTTTACTGATGACTTGCTTGTCACACAGTTACTGGTAAAATAAAAATAGAAACGTCACGAATAATCAAAATATCAGTTTATGAGATCACAGGGGGCCCATACAATCTGTTTGTGTAGCCGACTGTTGTTTTATAGTAAACGTACCAGTTTTACCGTTTGCCTCACCTATAGTGATATATTGCTGACTATGTACAGAAATCATTGATAAATAAACGTTGAATTACTTTACCTGTGGCGTATAGTCGTCCTTTTGCCTCAAAAATGATTTTTTTTTTAGCTATTTTGAATAAGTCTGAGTTCGTCGTCGTTAATGTAATGCATAAAAGAAAGACAAGGGTGGAAGCCTTGTTTTGAAAGGGTTCAAGCACGCGA